TGAATATCCATAATTCCCCATATAGTGTTAATAAGATAATGGTGAAATGTCTGCAATCACCAGTATCTCACAGGCTGTTATAAAAGACCTTGCTTGGTACACTTCTATCATACAGGTTTCAGAGTGGTAGCTGTGTTAGTCTGTATCGGCAAAAACAATGAGGAGTCCTTGTGGCACCTTAGAGACTAACACATTTATTTGGGCATAAGCTTTCATGGGCTAGAATCCACTTCATCAGATGCATGGAGTGGAAAATACAGGAGCAGGTATAAATACATGAAAAGATGGGAGTTGCCTTACCAAGTGTGAGGTCAGTCTAACGAGACAATTCAATTAACAGTAGGATACCAGGGGAAGAAAAATAACTTTTCTGTAGTTGAAATGGGCCACTCTCATTACCAACAGTTGACAAGAAGGTGTGAGTAACAGTAGGGGGAAATTAGGTTTAGGTTTTGTAATGACCCAACCACTCCCAGTCTTTATTCAGGCCTAATTTCCAAACTGGACACCATCAAATTAGGCCTGAATAAAGACTGGGAGTGGTTGGGTCATTACAAAACCTAAACCTAATTTCCAAAATAAATAATTTTGTTAGTCTCTCAGTTGCCCCAAGGACTCCGCATTGTTTCTCTCCTACAGTAATATTGGATTGAGTCAACTGATTTTATTGCTTAGTGTTTGAAGTTCAGAGCCGCTGTCCTTGTAGCCCAATAAACGATTGCAGTGTATTCTCCAATAAAGTTCCTTTTCTCCTTCTGGGAAGAGGTACCATGTGGCCTGGTGAAGACTTCATGCAGGCTCCTTCCCAGCTGGTGCTGGTTGAGTTATTGCCATCTCCCCTTGCTAGCTTGATGGCTTTGTTTACCTGTTATGTAAATTCACCTTCATTGCCACTGCCTGGTGATCATGAAGGTCAAACAAGCAAATAGACATTCCTTTGTCTAAGGCAGACTGGGCTTATGCATTGCTTGACAAACCCATTTTAAGAACATAATTTCAGCAGTTGTGTATTACTCTTTGTACATGCCCCATACATCTATCATGCAGTGATTATTGGGGCCATCGTGTTACCAGTTGTTATATGAAACCTTACACAACAACACCTTTTTGATACAGGTTATGACACCAGTGTGCAAGGTGTAGTGAGCACATCAGGCCTGCCGAGCTGCTGACGCAGATTAGTGGCGTGCCAGTAGAGCTCTGTCATGATGTTTGATGATAGGAAACTTGGAGCTTTTATCAAAATAACTTTATTGCCCATCCAGTACTGCAAACAATAAAATCATTAACTGACCAAGGCTTGCAAACTGTTAACCCCAGTACCACAAAATAAAAGGCTGCAAATTTGGGAACAGTGAAAGAAGGCAGAATGCATGCCTAAAAGTGCTGTGTGCCTATTTGTGTCGCACTGCTTGTAGGTGCAGGAGTTTAGCTTGTTTTGTCCTTCCCTTGCAGTGTAGAATGAGGAGGAAAGAAGCGTTCAGTTGGATGGGAGCTGGGGTCCCAGTATCTGCTGTTTTCCCTGTCCTGCAGTGTAGAGTGGGGAGGGAAGTGCCTGTGGCTAGAATCTGGGAAGGGTCAAGCTGCTCCCGGTACAGAGTGTTCATAGGTTGCAGGCAGGGCCGGCGCAACCCATTAGGCGACCTAGGCAGTCGCCTAGGGTGCTACAATTTTGGCGGCGGGACCTTCCGCCGCCTCTGTAGGGGGCGGCATTTCGGGGCGGGACCTTCCGTCGCATAGGGGGGCAGAAAAACTGGCGGCGCTCCTGGCTGCAGGATATGGCTGGGATGTGATGGTGGGTGGAACACTGCTTTAAGACTATATCTACACTGCACACCACTGGTGTAACTACATGCCACAGTGAAAAGCAAGCTGCATCCACACTGCGATGTCAGGGAAAGTCTCCAGCGGCGCCCCGCTGCCAGTAACTTTCCCCACTGCCGGAGCTCTTCCCTGCTCCAGCGAGAGGCTCCAGCACTGGGATGCTACACTGCTAAAAATAGCGGTGTAGATGTGGAAAGCGCTGCTTGGGTGTGTAGATAGCCCATGTAGGTTACATAGCCACAGGGTTCAGGTGTGTCTACTCTACTCGGCTAAGCAGTGCCTCCCCATCTGCACTCCTATGTATCTTCATGCTAGGAGGCGTGCAGTATATGTACTGTACACAGTGATGATGTACCCTAACATGCTGTCCAGCAAACTGATGTGCTTTTGCATCAGCATGTTTCTGTACATCCCTGTCTCTTTTTCTATGGTGTCCCTTGTTGGCTCGGTGGTCTCCCTTTGCAAGGAGAACTCTCCTCCGTCTTCTTGCTCCTCTTCTGTGTGGCTGACAAGAAGTCATCAAACGCTTCATCCTTTGTCTTCCTCTTTCTTGCCCTGGAGATGGGCCAGGTGTTTGGTAGATCACACTCTCATCATTGGGGGGGGGAGGAGGGGGTTCTGGGCAGGAGCTGAGGGAGTTGAGAACCAGACCAATTAGTTACAGCACTAAGTCCACTTTCCATGCCAACAATGAGAAGCTGCTGTTTTTTTTATTTTGTTTTTTTTCTTCCAACCCTTTCCATGGGGGACTTTGTTCCGATCCTAGGTTGTTTGGTGCAGTGGGTGGCAGAGTGGGCAGCAGGGTTGGGGGTTGGCCTGGGTGTTTTGCATGAGCTCGGGTGGGTGGGCAGCAGGGTTTGTTTGGAGTGGCGTGTGCATGGGCTGGTTTTGCAGAGGGATGCTTAGTGCACCTCTCCACACCACGCACCTCTTGCATTGGTGGATGTTATCCTGATACAGGTCACCATGAGGCAGCAAAGGAGGTATGTGGTGTGGTGTGGGGGGGGGGTGTTTTTTTTTTTTTTTTTTTTTTTTTTTTTTAAAAGAAACCAAGGACAGACCAGCAAGATCGTCAGTGATGTTATTTACTAGAGGTGCTGCGGGACTGAAAGGGCAGACTGAGCCGACTGCTTTGCCTTGCAATGTTTGTGCCGGAATAGAACACTTTCTTTGCCTGAAATTCTGGTTTATCTCCCCTGCATGGCGAAATAAATAGTTGTGTAGTAATTGTTCAGAACCTAAGGGGTTAATGATGCTGGGATTCTGACTACCTTAGCCAAGTGCCTTAATCTTTCTGCATTTTTAAATGCCCCACTTTAGGAAATAGACCTCATAAAATGCTGTGCTAGCTGAAAGCTCAGGGCCTTGCACAGGCTGTGAACCAACATCCTCTTTGTATTGTCTTGTTTTTACTGCATCTGGCATTTCGGCAAACACATGGACATTACATAGGTTTTTTAACCTCACTGCTAGCTTGCCAGGATGGGGGCATGGCAATCGACGGAGGGAGCAGGTATTGGAAAGGGGAGTGGGGGTGGGTGCTGGCCCAGCCAGGGCCCATGGACTATTAAAATGTAGGGACAACAATCAGTTGAGGAGTTCAGCTTCGCCACTGCAGATGCCATTTTGAGCATGGGATGAGAGGGGCACCTGAACATTCAACCAGCAGAGAGTGGGGAAGGGGCTGATTCTTGTTTCTGAACTAATTTAGGGCTGGTTTCCTGAGGAAGTTACACCTGTTTCACTTAAGGTGGAAACTTCAACCAGTTTAGTAAAACTGGTGTAACCCCACCTAGGGTTGCCAGGTGTCTGGTTTTTGATCGGAATGCCCGGTCGAAAAGGGGCTCTGACCGCTCCGGTCAGAACCACTGATCGGGCCGTTAAAAGTCCAGTTGGCAGCGCAATGGGGTTAAGGCAGGCTCCCTGCCTGCTGTGGCTTCCAGAAGCAGCAGCATGTTCCCTCTCCAGCTCCTATGCATAGGGGCAGCCAGGGGGCTCTGCACGCTGCCCCCGCCCCAAGCGCTGGCTCTGCAGCTTCCAGGAACTGCAGCCATTGAGAGCTGCAGGGGCAGCGCTTGGGGACAGAGCAGCATGCAGAGCCACCTGGCTGCACCTCTGCATAGGAGCTGGAGGGAGGGACACGCCGTTGCTTCCGGGAGCTGCCTGAGGTAAGCACTGCCCAGAGCCTCCACCCTGATCCCATTCCGTGCCCCTGCCCCAGCCCTGATCTCTCTCTTCCCCCCCCCCTGCCCTTGGCCCCAGCCCAGAGCACCTCCTGCACCCCTTATCCAGAGCCTGCACCCTCAGCCAGAGCCCCCACTGCAACCCCCTGCCCCACCCTGGAGCCCCGTCCCACCCTCCAAACCCCTTATCCCCCACCCCAGAGCCCACATCCCCAGCCGGAGCCCTCACCCCTTCTGCACCTAAACCCGCAGCCCCCTCCTCCACCTTGAACCCGTCATAGAATCATAGAATCTCAGGGTTGGAAGGGACCTCAGGAGGTCATCTAGTCCAACCCCCTGCTCAAAGCAGGACCAATTCCCAACTAAATCATCCCAGCCAGGGCTTTGTCAAGCCTGACCTTAAAAACCTCTAAGGAAGGAGATTCCACCACCTCCCTAGGTAACCCACTCCTGAGCTTGCACCCCCAGCTAGAGCCTGCAGCCCCCTCTTGCACTTCGAACCCCTCATTTCTGGCCACACCCCGGAGCCCGCACTAAGTGATTCTGCAGCAATCCCATAGCTTCTGGTCGAGCTAGCGCACATCTTTTTAGAAAGAGACATCTGATCTTGATTTACAGACTTCAAGTGACAGAGAATCCACCCCATCCTTAGGTCACTTATCCCAATGATTCATTGTCCTCCCTGTTAATCATGTGCACCTTATTTCTAGTCTGAATTTGTCTAGCTTCAGCTTTCAGCCACTGGATCTTGCTCTGCCTTTGCCTGCTAGATTAGAGTCCTCTATTTGAAATCTTATCCCTTTGTAGGTACTTGTAGACTGTGTGATCAAGTCACCTCTTAACTTTCTCTGCAATAAGCTAAATAGATCGAGAGAGAGAGACTCCGAAAGGTTTCCCAGACCTCAGATCATTCTTTTAGTGTGGTGTGGTGTGTGTGTGTGTGTGTGTGTGTGTGTGTGTGTTGTTTTTTTTTTTGAACCCTTTCTAATTTGTCAATGTCCGTTTTGACATGAGGACCCCAGAACTGGACCAGTCCCCAGTGATATACACCGAGCTAATATCACCTTCCTACTCCTGCTTGTTCTTCCCATCCCTCCACCTACTAAAGGACGCTTCCAGAGCTGTGACTGTGGGTGTGAGCTACATTGGCACAGCTGGCTTGGGAGGCTACAGGACTGGAGTAGCAGGGGATGCTGCAGGTAACTAATGCCACACATCTGCAGAGCTGGGGTGAGTGAAGTTTGCAGAGCACCTCTCCGTGTTGCACCTGGCTCTGCTTGTGAGGGCAAGAGAATTTTATTGCTTATCTGAATGTTACAATTCCAAATTCAGTTCAGAGACACAAGGGCTGGATTCACACTGGGTTGGAGGATTGTCTCAGCTAAGTTCCCCAAATAGCAAACGCTGGATACTGAAAGCATGCAGAGGAGCTTGACCCAGCACCAGACTCATGCCTAGAGCCACCTGACTGCTGAAAAAGCATTTATGGCCAGATCTTTATAAGACATCAGCTTCCCCTGCGAGCAATGGTCCCTATAGTCCCTCCACCTCCCTCTCCAGTGGAGAAATCCCACCTTGCCCCTCCACTGAGAGCAATGGAGATCTCTGCTTCCCTCCCCCATTGAGAGCAGTGGGGAATTCCCTCCCCAGGCTGTTCTCAATGGGAGCTCTTGGGTGCTGAGCTTGCTTGTAAACCTGGCCTCCAGCCTCTGCCCCTGGGTACCCATGCTGTCCCGGGGCAGCCATGAGGCCTCTTTCAGCAGGACCGCTCCTGCCAGCAGGCGACTCAGCATTGCTGAGTGTAATGTAGCCGATCAGTGGTCGTTTCTGTGCAGATTCCTGCTCCTCCGGGCCATGGGGTCCTGTCAGAACTTGGCACTGAGCGAACCACCATTTTCCCCCATCTGTGAATTAGGGCTGAGGCCCACCTCACGGGGGCTGAGGAAAAGTGAATACATCTCCAAACAGCAGGCAGGCCCTCAGCTGGAAAGCACAATCACCTCCCTCCATGCTATAGAACATGCTCCAGCTGCTTGTGATTTGCCAGACCAGCTAGCTCCCCCTGCCAGCTGGCATGGCAGGGCTCACTCAGAGGTTTGTGCTGGGGACGCTGGTTAGTTCTTCCCCCTGCTGCTGGCTGGAGTTTTTGGAGGAGGCCTGGTTGTGCAAGGCAACTGCTGTCCCCTGCCAAAATCTCTGTGCTACCCAGGGAGCAGTTACTGAGCTCCAAAGGCACCTCTGTCACTGGCACCCAGCAGGCTAATCTGAGGGAATTGACTATTGCCGTTCTCCAGGCTTGTCTCAGATCCTCTCCCTCCTCAGAGGAGATGGGCCCCATAGCTTGACAGTGCAAAGTGCGTGCAGTGGATCCCCTCCTTCCCTCCCACACCATGGTGCTGCTGCTCAGGAGGTGAGGATAGTTTTCATTCTGCTCTGTCCTCCCTATCCATCCTGGGAGATTGCTAGGACATTAAAGGATATTGCTGGTTTACCTGTCACCTCGCACAGCTAGTCAGGTGAGAGCTGGGGTGTTTGCACTGCAATTCCACTCTTTCTGTGTAGTGATTTCCACAGTATCGGAGTGAAGATCCATTCTTAAGTAAAAAGAACTGGAGTACGTGTGGCACCGTAGAGACTAACGCCTTTATTTGAGCATAAGCTTCTGTGGGCTACAGCCCACTTCATCGGATGCATAGAATGGAACGCACAGA